CTGAAAAAAAAAAAAAAAAAGGACTTCATTCGATAAGTCTAAGTGGTCATTTAAAAATATGTCACACTTTTGTGGTCAAATTTGATATACCACAGGAAATTTAATAGGAAAGAACCTAACACTGACTAATTCTTTTAAATATGTGTTAAATAAAATCTATATAACATAATGTTGAATGAACTTACACAGAAATGGGGTGAGACTTTAAAACATTCAGATTGCAGATGATTAAAACGGGTACATAGAGAGTATATACAGTATACTTCAAAAGTTTCAAATCTGTAAGAATTGTAATGTTTTTTTAAGAAGTTTTTTATGCTCAAGGCTGTATCTATTTGATCAAAAATACAGAATTTTTTTTTTGTGAAATAATATACTTGAAAATATAATTCATTCAATCTAGTGAAGCATCATTACTCTAGTATACAGTGTCACATGGTCCTTCAGAAATCATTCTAATATGCTGATTTATAATGAATGTTGGAAACAGTTGTGCTGCTTAATATTTTTGGGGCCTGTGATACTTTTGTATCACAGGATTCTTTGATAAATAAAAAGTTAAAAAGAACAGTGTTTATGGAGTAATGGCTGTTAATTTTGAATCAGTTTTTATTTTTATATTTTCCATTTTTATTTGTTTTATTAATTTTGTTGTGATTTAATTCAATTTAATTGGTTTGTAATTTTGTAATTTTTATTTCAGTTTTAGTTGTTTTAGTACAGTAAAATGAGAAATGTTGCCTTGGCAACTAGCTTAAATAATTTTTCATATTTTATTTTATTTCCGTTATTTTCATTTTTCTTTCTCCGTGGTTTTAATTAAGTATGTTTAGCTATAATGACTTTAACTATAATTGTAACTATAATAATCCTTAATAACACCAAAACATTCTAGGGGGAGTATTCCACTTTTCAGAAATTTTTTTTTAAATTATTTTTAGATCATTTTATTTTAGTTTTTTTCCCCTTATTTTGGTGAATTAAATTTATTTATTTATTTAATTTAATTTAATAATTTCTTTGTTTTTAATAATTTAAAATCCTAAATCTTTCAATTTTTTTTAAACTCCATTGTTAATCAAAACATATGGATTTATATTGCTGTAGTGTATGTCATGTGGGAACATCATTGTACAGCAGTTAAGTGCGTTTTGTTGCTGTGCAAACAGGATGTCTGTTGTCTTACGGGCCAGCGTTCATATCAAGATGAATTACTGACTCAGCCTGTTGGATCTTGTCCCATGAAACGAAATGAACATCTCCTATTGAGGGAAAGGCCCAGTCTGCCTTTTATAGCATGGGAAGAAGTTTAAATTAAATACTGGGATGGGATGGGATGCTGGTTAAGCCGACTGAGCGTCTGCATTGGCGTTCAGGGAAACACTAAATGATGGAAAATTTCATACAGAAACGAAAGAACATGGTGTCTCTTAAAACCTTGTTTGAGGTGGAGGCCGTTGGCGGCTCAGAGATGGGTAAGTCGAGCCAGGTTTCCAGTGGTCATGCCATGTTCTCGGCTTATAAATAGTTATGTATGAAGACATGCTGTGTTTTTGATGTGCTATAAACCAGAAAGCCCCAAAGCTGTTCTCTGGCAAGATGTGTACATTCTTTTGCATAGATGTATTCTCATTGTGCTCATACTGTTTCCTACACATACATACACAGTTTTTGCTCCAGGAATAAATCCTATCTGATGTAATATTATTTTATTAACAGTGGAACAGGAGCAGATTCAGAAGAGGACATTCACAAACTGGATCAATGCACAGTTCTCCAAGGTAAACCCAAGAACAACCCATAACTTACTGTAATGACTCCAACTACAGGTACATCTCAAAAAATTTGAATATCATGAAAAAGGTCAATATTTTTTGTCACTCATTTCAGAAAGTGAAACCCATATATTATATAGATTCATTACACATAGAGTGAAATATTTCAAGCCTTTATTTCTTGAAATTTTGATGATTATGGCTTACAGATAATGAAAACCCAAAATTCAGTGTCTCAGAAAATTAGAATATTGTGAAAAAGTTCAATATTGGAAAGTCATGGTGTCACACCCTAATCAGCTAATTACCTCAAAACACCTGCAAAGGTTTCCTGAGCCTTTAAATGGTGTCTCAGTCTGGGTCAGTAGGCTACACAATCATGGGGAAGACTGCTGACTTGACAGATGTCCAGAAGACAGTCATTGACTGGGAGGGTAAGCCACAAAAGTTCATTGCTAAAGAAGCTGGTTGTTCACAGAGTGCTGTATCCAAGCATATTCATAGAAAGTTGAGTTGAAGGAAAAAGTGTGGTAGGAAAAGGTGTACCAGCAAAAGGGATAACCGCAGCCTTGAGAGGATTGTCAGGCAAAATCCATTCAAGAATTTGGGGGAGCTTCACAAGGAGTGGACTGAGGCTGGCGTCAGCGCATCAAGAGCCACTACGCACAGACGAATCCTAGACATGGGCTACAAATGTCGCATTCCTCGTGTCAAGCCACTCCTGAACCAGAGACAACGTCAGAAGCGTCTTACCTGGGCTGTGGAGAAAAATAACTGGACTGTTGCTCAATGGACCAAAGTCCTCTTTTCAGATGAAAGTACATTTTGCATTTCATTTGGAAACCAAGGTCCCAGAGTCTGGAGGAAGAGTGGAGAGGCACAGAAACCATGTTGCTTGAAGTCCAGTGTGAAGTTTCCACAGTCAGTGATGATTTGGGCTGCCATGTCATCTGCTGGTGTTGGTCCACTGTGTTTTCTGAAGTCCACAGTCAACGCAGCCATCTACCAAGAAATTTTAGAGCACTTCATGCTTCCATCTGCTGACAAGCTTTATGGAGATGCTGATTTCATTTTCCAGCAGGACTTGGCACCTGCCCACACTGCCAAAGGTACCAAAAGCTGGTTCAATGACCATGGTGTTACTGTGCTTGATTGGCCAGCAAACTCACCAGACCTGAACCCCATAGAGAATCTATGGGGTATTGTCAAGAGGAAGATGAGAGACACCAGACCCAACAATGCAGACAGACCTGAAGGCCGCTATCAAAGCAACCTGGGCTTCCATTACACCAGAGCAGTGCCACAGGCTGATTGCCTCCATGCCACGCCGCATTGATGCAGTAATTCATGCAAAAGGAGGCCCAACCAAGTATAGAGTACATAGAAATGAACATACTTTTCAGAAGCCTGACATTTCTGTTTAAAATATCCTTTTTTTATTGATCTTATGTAATATTCTAATTTTCTGAGACACTGAATTTTGGGTTTTCATTATCTGTAAGCCATAATCATCAAAATTTCAAGAAATAAAGGCTTGAAATATTTCACTCTGTGTAATGAATCTATATAATATATGGGTTTCACTTTCTGAAATGAGTGACAAAAAATATTGACCTTTTTCGTGATATTCTAATTTTTTGAGATGTACCTGTATGTAGTCTAGAAGAGTTAGGAGTCAAACTGAGGCTGTAGCTGAATCGCTGACTCACTGGTCAGCAAGGAAGGTCTGTTCTGCTGTTCTGTTTGCCTTTGAGCATTGCATATGGCAAGGAGCTTGATTTATTTATAGTTCCCCGCCAGCAGCAGCCCCCCCCCCCCCCCTGCGCTTCAGCGGCCTGTAACATTTTAGCTCGTCCACAAACACTTGGCCGCATTTTAAACGCAAGCGCTCTTAAACCTCCTGCAAGTGACAACCTGTGTAGAGCGCCAGTGATCTCTCTGTATAGCTAGAGTGTTGCATCATTTTACATCAGATTAACACTTTGATGCATGAAATACTTTTTTAAAAATCACAAAATATCAATACTCATTTCCAAACTACTTTTATTTTGAGAGACTGTCACATCAGTCTACTCCAAAAGAAGATTGTAATAAATATTCCAAAGGTACTTTGTTCATCACCACTGTTGTCAGTCAATTTGCATTTGCATTTATAAATAAAAATGAAATATCATATAAAAAGAGCAGTCATACTGAATGAATTATGATTTAAATATCCACCATTTGCAATTAAAATGTATTTAAATAAAAGATACATCAAATAAATTTAATTTAATTGTATTTTTAATGGAACAGATGGTCTTACCTTTAACCTTTAGACAAAATATTATAAAGGTTTGTGTACCTGTATGTGCTTTTTGTTGAGTATCATATATGATAAATCAGGCTTTATGGCCTTTAAAGGAATAGTTGACCCAAAAATGAAAATCTTGTCATCATTTATTCACCCTCATGTCGTTCCAAACCTGTGTGAGTTTCTTTCTTATGTTGAACATAAATGAAGATATTTTGAAGAATGCTGGTAATCAAACAGTTGATGGTCCCCCATTGACTTCCACAGTATTTCTTTCCCTACCTATGAAAGTCAATGGGGACCAACAACTGTTTGGTTCTTCAAAATATTTATGTGTTCAACATAAGAAAGAAACTCCTAGATGTTTGGAACGACATGAGGGTGAGCAAATGATGACAAAATCAACATTTTTGGGTGAAATATGCCTTTATATATGGAGCTTATACTCTGACTCAGAGGGAAAAGAAACTCCACAATTTTATTCAGAGGCCCAAACTGAGCAAAAATATGCAATTTAGTGCCACTGCTGATATTTTTATGACAAAAGAATGATAAACTTTTGAACTTCTTATAAACGTATAAAATTTTGATCATGTTGATCATTTAGAGGCCTTAACAATTTTCGATCAAATGATACAGTAGGTTTTAGGGTTAATATAATAATAAGTTAATAATAATTAATAAATGAATAATATATTCAAATATATCGTTCTACATTTTTCTGCTTTTTTGTGTTTTGTTTTAATCCATGCTTTGTTTATTTCACTGTTTATTTGTACTTCTGCCAGCATAGCTTGACATCAGGAATGCTCAGTGCATTGCCCTGTGAACACCTTTAACATGTTCAGATAGAATACTGATGTGTGTTTCAGAGGAGCCATCCAACTGTTGTCCAGGATCTGTTCTCAGATCTTCGAGATGGGACTCGACTGCTTGACCTACTGGAGGTGATGAGTGGCCAGCGCATGGTGAGTGCTGAATATCACCGTCATACCACTGAGATTCACAGAGATTCAACCAAGAAAGTATTTGTTTATACTGAATCATTGAAATGTTTAAAAATGCTGCTTACTACTGAGTTTGTTTGTTTCTCTGTAGAAGCGTGAGCGGGGTCATGGTGTGTTTCAGCAGAGAGGCAACGTCGAGACCGCTTTGAACGTCTTGAAGAATAAATCAGTAAGAGAGTTTTTGGGATTCTCATAAGACTGATGATGATTTTCCATCTGATAGGATATTAACATTTATATACAAATGACATAAACAACTGTTTACGTTCTCTCAGATCAAGCTGGTGAACATAAACATCCCAGACATCATAGAGGGGAAACCTTCCATCATTCTGGGCCTGATATGGACCATCATTCTGCACTGTCATGTGAGTATAACAGTGAAGACACCATGGGCCAGTTGCATAAACTTGGCCTCTATGTTGTCTTAAGAACTAGTCTGACCAACTAGCAGTTAGCCAAGGGGTAATCATTCTTATTTTTTAGATTCAATTTACACTAATCTACATTTTTATGTAACTGAATAAAAAAAAAATTGAGAAAAAAAATGTAAGAAAAAAATTAGCTGACTAACTTTTAAGACTAGGCTTACCCTTTTATGCAACTGGCCCAATGTGTTTTTACAAAAACTAGCATATTATATACAGTATACTTGCATCTTTCTTTGCCTTGAGCTGTTTTTTTGTTTGTTTGTTTGTTTGTTTGTTTGTCATTGTTTACTTCAAGACCTTTAGCATTTTAGCTCAGAGTGGGCCTGTACTTTTTGAGATGTGAGACTCTTTTATTTCTTCCAGAAGAGAAAAGAATATCAAAATAACAATGCACACAGGAAGCATATAGTATTACAGAAGATTCTTTTATGTCAGAGAACATGGGTTGAATGAGTTCAGTGGTTCTGTTTAGTTATATTAGTCTTATGCTAAAATGTATGCCATTATTACTGTTCAAAAGTTTGAGGTCAGATTGATTGTTTGATTTGATTGATTGATTTATTTATATTTATATTTATATGTTTTTGAAATAAGTATCTTTATGTTCCCAAAGACTGCATTATTTGTTAAGGAATACAGTATAAACAGTAATATTTTGAAATATTATTACAATTTAAAATAACTGGTTTGTATTCTAATATATTTTAAAATATATTAGAAGTTTAAAATATTAAAAAAAAAAAATCTTTGATGATAGATAGATATATATAATATAATATAATATATGTACAGTATATAACCTATGTATGTCCTCTTGTGAATGTATGAACTGACATCTGTATTAAACATGCTCACTTCTCCTCATTACTACAGATAGAGGAGCTAGCCAGCACTCTCTCTTATGGATCCCGTTCATCCTCCCTGGACTCTCTGTCCAGTCTGGATTCTGTTTCTGGATCTCCAGGCAGTAGTCCTGTTCCTCGAGGAGCATCACCGCTCCACACGCGCTTCCGTCTGTCTGCTAAGAAGGCTTTGCTCCTGTGGGTTCGGGACCAGTGCCAGAAGTGAGCTTCATCTAGCAAATGCTTTCATGCACTGTGAATGTTTGGTCAAACTGTTTAGTCTGTTTAATTTCCACACCAGTTGTTCCTCTAAAATGATTGTTTTCTTTCTCTAGAGTTGGTTGCTCAGCCAGTGTGAGGGACTTTAAGTCCAGCTGGAGGAGTGGTGAGGTGTTTCTGGCCATTCTCTGCTCCCTTAGACCTGATCTGGTGGACCTCTCTCAAGCGCAGACCAGCAGCCACCGGGAAAACCTGGAGAGGGCGTTTCACCTCGCTGAGAAGGAGCTCGGAATTCCCAGACTGCTCGAGCCAGAAGGTAAAAGCTATTAGCAGCATTATCCATTATCCGTTATTTATTCATAGCTCTAATTTTTAACAAAGAAATAAAAACAGTTAACTCTAATACAGTGGTTCTTAACTAGTTGGGCCTCAGCAAACATCCAAGGTGGCCTTAAGATGATTTAATATTTAAAATACTACTACAAAACAAGACATTTCTTATGTTATTAATTTACACCCTCAACAGCTGTCTTGAAAAACCTGGATTTATATGGTAGCGAATTTAAAAAATGTGATTTCTAGAAAAGACGTCACTTATGGAAAAGCCATGTAAGTGAATACATTTGTAAAACTACAGGCATTTTTATGATACATATACATTTTTCTAGTTACATTTTTCTTGCCAAGCTAAAAAAAAAATGTTTTTCCAGTAAATTATGAACAACTGGAAAAGTCATTGGGCCTACAAAGATTCTTGTGAAAAATGATGTGAAAATGTTAATAATAATAGTAATCTAATAGTGGGTTGAAAATAGAAGAATAATCAATACAAATACTAAATAAAAGATCATATTTATAATATAATAATAATATGATATAATAAATTACTAATTATAATGACACCATAAAAGTCCATTTAAATATATCTATATAATGCTTTTTTATATTTTTCCTACAATATAAGCAAGTCTTTATACATGAAAATATGCAAGAGCCTTTATATTTCAGTAATGAGTTCCTTTGCAAAGGGATAATGTTTTGAGTGTAGTGTACAATGCAGTGTTTTTTAAGGTTATTGAAGATTTATGTACATTAAAATTCTCTTTCCTCTCAGACATTGATGTCAGTAACCCTGATGAGAAGTCTATCATGACATACATTGCTCAGTTCCTGCAGTACTCCAATGATCTGCCTGTAGCTGATGAAGATTTTGAGGTAAGACCATCTCCAACTGAATCTCCCATCTAGATCTCTGCTTTTGTTTGTCTGCCTTTTTTTTCATTCTTACCTTCTTTCTCTTTCTAACCCCCTTTCCCACATATGGCCCTTCAACTTTGCTTTCTCCTACTCTCTGTTGCCCCCTCCTGGTTGGATGCAGCTTCAAACTCTGCTCTTCCCACATGCCTTTCTCCTGTCAACCTCCCTACATACTTCACTCCTGCTGTGCTGGCCTCACCAATCCACCAGGTACAGACGTCACAGAGCACTTGTGAATTCCTTCACAGTTTTCCTCTGTCAAAATATCATTCCAGCATCAGCCTCTACTTGTTTCAACATGCTTTCTGATTTTACAATCAATCTCGAATTCGGTTCTATGTTTCCTGCCCTGCCCTTAGGCTTCGCCCAGTCAGAAAGCCAGAGAGATGAAATGCTGGCTAGAGCGAGCCTATCAGGAGTTACTGGAGGCGTGGAATTCCACAGAGGGGAAGGGATATGCAGAGGGGTATCAGGTATGCTGAATGTAAAATGGTAAATTATCCCTTCCTGATATGTAACATGCATCTTATGACAAGCCCTGAATGTGTGTCTATGTTTTTATCCAAGGCATTTCAGAACTTTGTGGGGACTTATTATGACCAACGACGTCCAGTTATTCCACTTCTCAGTGCAATGAGACGCTGCGCTAAACCAAGTGAGGAGCAGATGGCACTGAGAAAAGCATGGGACACCATGGAGGAGAGGGTGAATTCTGCTTATTAAATATGTCACCAAATACAGATTGAAATTAGGCAGTTCTGATAGTCTTGGGAATGGACTGGAAATTCCAAACAAATCACACCAGTATCGTTTTTTATATCAAAGGTGTTCATAAAGTTAAAGCTGTCATAGAAAAACTTTATATCGGAATAATTTCTGAATGTTATTATTTGTTCAAACATAATAAACCCAGAAACAACCTTATAGCAGTAAAACATCCAACTATTATTTGCTATAAAAAACATAAATATAAAAAAACATAACAATCTAAATAAATAATTCAACTAGACATTAAAATATATATTTTTTAATAAATTAAAACTCTAAATAAATTAAATAAATATAACCTACAGTAGTCTAGCTTTCTAATAAACCTGGCATTGTGTACTATGAATATTTTTAGCTCTGAAGAAGGGTATAAGGTATTTTGAATGTAAAGCCATAAATAATGCTTATGTTGCTCCATTGTAAGTCATTTCAGATAAAAGCATCTGCTAAATGCATAAACATAAATGTAAATTCAGTTCAATTAAAGATTCAAATGTAAAATTCTGTAACATGTAATTAAAAATAAATATTTTTATATATTTCATATACAGTATATTCTTGAAGAAATATTTATCTTTCTGACATAAAAAATGTACAAAAAAAAATAAAATGCGACGGGATCAGTAAAAATACTGGCAGGTCATATACTGGACTAACAGGAAAAAATATTAGTATAAGTAATATAAGTACTTTTCAAATAATTAAGTGACAAAAAAAATCTTAGATTATTTTGTACACTACTTCTCCCCAGTTACAAGAGTATAGAACCGAGCTTGATGTTGGTTTGCCGGCCCCTCTGAACACACTGGACCGGTGGCTCCAGCATATGGAGGCTGTGCTATCTGAAGACAGCGGGAGCGCTGAAGATCATGCACTTGCTTCCAGAGACGCCAGACTCAAGCATGAACAGCTGAAGGTCAGTGTGCAGACAGGCATTATCATGCTTTAATGTGTATTTTGGAATCATGTGCATATCTTTGTTTGCTCTTCATGTTTCCTTAGGTTTTGGTTGAGGACTTAAGCCAGCACTTGAACACCATTCATCACTACAATATCACAGATGATGAAGTGCCGGTCGAGAAGCTGGAGGAGATCAAGAGACGGTTGGAAAACAAAATCTATTCAGTGCTTCCTGCTGAAAAGACCAGCATCTGTAGTGTTTAGAACATCAGATGCTGGTATGTACATTAGGCATCTAAAGTAGTAACAAAACAGACCAGTTTGCTTTTTAAAGATGGTCTTTTCAGCAGGGCCGAACATTTCAGTTTCTCTTAATGTTGTCTTCTTCAAGATATCCAGGTTCCTTGCTAATGTTTCTCATTCTCCTTGATAGTTTCACCAGTGCCAGAGTGACAGCCAAGTACCACGGCATCAAGCTACAATACAGAGAGCAGATGCACCATGTTTATGACCTGCTGGGACATCTGAAGTCTAAGCTGAGCTTGTGGAGAGGGCCTTACGGCTCCCAGGAGTCTGTTCAGTCTCTGCTACAAGATTGGCATGTATGTGGCCCTATTGATCAGTTATTGTCAATTTGCCATTGCCGTTTTTTTAGAATCTCAGTTTTCGATTTAGGCTAGGTTTTGATTCGAGTAAAATAAAGTCTGTGGTAAACATTACTTCAAGACTTTCACAGTTTGTTCTTCAACATAAATTGCGTGCATTCAGCTCTCAAAAGGGAATTTTGAAAAAGTTTACTGTTGAGGACTGCAACTACATGAGAACTTGCTTGCCTTTTTAACTGTTTGTTGACAATTTCTGCATAAAGTAGTGAAGCCATATCTAAACAGGCTTCGAACAATAAAGCATTGCAGAGATGACATACTTTTGTTGGCCAAACCGGAAATAAACATCACACTGGTTCCCTTGACAGAAAGCCATTAGGATTTTTCAGTTGGCTTTTGGATTATTGCAGAACATAAACTCATTCTTACAAATTTGTCAATCTTACACATTCTGTTCACCATGATAATCTTTACAAATGAACAAAACTTTTGTTCATTTTGAGACCTAAATACAGTACAATCGCTAGAAGTAAAAAGCTGCAACTTTCGTTTTAAAAGATTAAATAATTAAAAATCTAATTAATTGATTCATTTAAAAAATTAATTTAAAATATACAAAATGGAAAGTTTGTGTTAGAATAGTTTGCAAGAGCATAAGTATAAACACAACAAGTCTATAAAAGTGGACTGTTGAGTAGTTTAATGTCTCTGACAACCTAAAAACTTAAAAGCTTAAATGAATAGTAAACAATGCTTATTTGCCATTTAGGACACTGTTGACAAGCAAGGTCTGGTGTGGATGTTGAAGGAAGCACTTAATAAGCTGAAGGACACAGCAGTCAGCTATACCAACAAAGTAGCTCTGGGTAAGTCTATATTGTTGGCAGTTCTGTTATACTTTGGTTTTTATGAAAGTTAGTGCTTTTTCCTGTAACTTTTATCTGATTTACCCTCTCTCCTTTGTTTCTTTTCCAGCAGACGACTCGCCTGTGGTTAACAGGTGGGTAAAAGAGGCAGATAGTGAGACGGGAGTCAGTACAGAAGCTGCAGAAGCAGTAAGATCCACCATGGAACATGTTCTGGCTGCATGGGAGTCCTACAAAGACTGCCTGTATCTATTACAGGTCTGGCTGGGGCAGGAGAAAAAATCAGAGGCTCAAGAGGTACTATACAGCATTTGTCATTAAAACACACGATACAAAGTATACAGTGACCCAAAAAGTGTTTGAACACCTAAGATGCACTTGAAAAGTATGAATGTCATTTAGTTATCTTTGTTGAGATGTTTGGTAAGTTCAAGTCATGAGGTGAGGGCATGATGTTTGTACTGTATGTGGTTGCAATTTGTCAATTGATCTCTTTCATAATACAGCACAAGCATTTTTCCTCCAGCCTGAATGAGTGGAGATCACGTCAAGCCCAGCTGAATGAGGTGGGAAACTTTCTCATTGAGATGAGTGACGCCTCCACCAGCCACTCTCTGACTGAAGAGCTCCGCAAACTGAACATGCAGTGGGCTGACTTCATAAAAAGGACCAAGTTTGTGAGTTTGTAGAGATAGAACACTCGTTTTCAGCAGGGTCCAAAATTAACACTTACCAAATGCCAAATTGCAAGCAAGATTTGTCTTTTTTGAAGAAATAAAGCAATTTCTAGTAACTTTAAAAGAAACTGCACCTTATTACTATACGTTTGAATTTTAATCCGAGTGATTAAAAAAAAAAAAAAAAGAGAGCGAAAACCACAAGCAATATCTCTCATAATTTGAATTTTGGTAAACATTTTCAGTGGAAATTGTTCTATCCGTCTATCTAGGATGCCTGTTATAAAACTGACATGTAATGTCACACATAATATTTTTCACATTACACCACCAGTTGCAGTATATAATTTGAGTATGAGAACAAAATATTTTTGTACTGGCAACAGAAAACGTGATGCAGGTGTTTCTCACAAAATATTCAAGGAAAAAGCTAAATATATTCCATTGTTAAAGACAGAAATAATGCAAAATAAAGTTTCATAGCTGGTAAGAAATATTTATGACTGGTGCATTTGCTCAATTCATTCGCAAGTAGGTGTAGCAAAGAGTTTATTTTGGATCCTGGTTATTTGTCAATTTCAACTTGTTCTACTGGATTGAATAAAGGGTTTTGCCTTTAAACTGCCAAGACCCAGCCTTTTTCGATTCTCTCTGTAAGTTGCATAATTTGTTGGTGGATCTTTGCTACTATTTTTCACTTTCTTTGAGTGATACACTGATAAGCTGGTGCTTCAGCCCATTGTGTTTCAAAACCACAGAAGCATTCTGTTTCATCATCTGTGCTTACTGTTCATCAAAGCATGTGATTGCTCTTGTTCTTTGTCTTTTAACATTCTACACCCTTGAAAAGATTGTGATTGTTGATTTCAAAAAAAAAAAAAAAGATGTTACTGTTTAACAATAAAGTGCTTATTCTGTTGTAAATGGCATGTTTTCAGGCAGTGGCCCCTCAGCCCATCGCTGCAGTCCCAGGTGTCCGAGCTTCCCTGATGCAGGAAGCCAGCTGGGTGCTTAGAGAGACAGTTGAGGTGTTATCTGGACCTCTACGTATTTACAGAAAGAAACTCCAGGTATACTGATCTTTCTGTCCAAGCTGTAGTACTTCATACTGTTTGTATTGTTATATTAGATGTTTCTTCATTGTTTTATATGCCTTTCTTAATGTTTTTTTTTTGCCTTTGTCTTAGCTGTTTCTCAGAATCATTTTCTTCTCCACTCTCTTGTCAAGGTTGTTTATGCTTGTCTTTTTTTATTTTTTTTTTTATTTTTTACTCAGGGCATAACTAAGAAGATGTCTGAGTTCAATCTGAACTCTTTGTCTCCATCTCCAGACTACAAAGAGGAAACTCTTCAGAAATTCAGACAAACTCTTCCGGAGGTCAGGCAATATTTAGGTTAAACGTGTAGATGTGAGAGACAGTTCACCCAAAAATGAAACAAATTTTTTTATTTTTTATTATTTACTTGCTCTCAGTTATCCTGTGGAACACACAAATACAATTTTGAAGAATCTCCATGAGTCATTGAGTTTGTGAGTAAACAAATCAGTCTTTTGAGTCAGTTCTTTCCAGTGAACTGGTTCATCAAACTGATTAGTTTGTATTGGTATATATCCATTTATTTTAAATAGGGCTGTCACAATCATATTTTTACTTAACTGAATTATTTTACTGAATTATGGCTAAAATAATTCACAATAACAATATTATTGCAAAGTCTACAGAAATTTTATGAATAATGTGACAAAATTAAATTCTGCCAAAATTAAATAATGCTATCAGTCAAATTTATCTTTAACTTTTATTTTGTACTTTCACGAAAAAGGTGTATTGGGAGACAGAGATGGTATTTGTAACAATAACTTTACAAAAGTGTGCAAAAACAACTGTTGATCGTTACTTCTTGCAGAATGGGGGTCTTACACCCACCCAACTTTTTTGCAGAATCAAAAAAACTCTTTATGACAGGAGGCAAACAGATTTAAGGTGCAGTACTGCCTCCTATGTTGGAGTGTCTACCAACTCTCTAAACACTCTGTGTCTCTAATAAGAATAATTGATTTAACTAGGAACTGAACAAATCTGTGGACATGTTTCTTGGCAGACACTTGAGACTTTGACCCGGGTGGATCAGGTGTGTGAGAGACTCCAGAAAGCCGCATCTCTGCTCGAGGGCAGGCTGGCTGAGCTTGAAAACTGGAGCACGGAAGCCCAAGAGGTCTGCCACCACCTAAAGAAAGGCAGCATAGGGGCCACGGGGGGCCACATTCCAGGGCTAAAGTGAGTACAATTAACTAAGTTATTGAGTTCATTTGGTTGATTAAAACAGCGCTTTCACATTGTTGTCTCTTTGGATTCCCATTGCAGGCACTGATCTCCAGAGGTCTACAGTTGGAAAGACAGGTGGTGACAGAAGGTGAGGACCTGCAGGTGCTTGTGACATCTGTGCAAAAGAACTCCTCCCTTCCTTACCTCAGCACATCGGCAATACAAGACCGACTGAAACAGACGGTCTCACACTGTCAGGTGAATTTCATTGCAGGCCAGTATCGGTTAAGGAATGCTTAAAATCATGATGTTGTAACTTCTCACACCGTTCTGTATGTCCGTCAGGAGGTTACTGAGATGCTCAGTTCTCATGGAGTGAAGCGTGAAGGACAGCCTGTAGGTGCACAGCCTGCTTCCAAGGTTTTTGTGCAGGCCCATTCTCAGCCTGAATCCCAAACTAGAATCATTCAACACCATCAGGATCAGACGTTCTTCCAAAGCAGCAAACGTTCTCTAGAGAGCCCAGCAGAACCTCAAAACCAAGAACTCCATTCTTCTCAGCTGCAGTCACAATTGGAAACCACTAGTGGCATACAGCCCCAGTTTCTCCCCCAGGTTCGTGTAAAATCTCCAAAAGCCCAAAGCAAAACTATATGCCAAGTCCTGCATGCAGAGCTCAAACAGCCTTTGCTGTCATCTGTTGTTAGCAGGAAGGCTCAGTTGAAACCCCAAACTGACGTTCAACTGATCTCTGTAGACTCCAGCCTAACCAATCGCTTTGGACCATCAGACCTTCAAGCTGCCTCAGTAAACTCAAGCCAAAACAGTGGCTTTGGACATTTACAGGTTATCTCTGTAGACCCAAACCAATCCAGTGACTTTGGACCATCAGAGCAACAGGTTCTTTCTGCCAACTCAAGCCAAACCAGTGGTTTTAGACCATTAGACTCTCTCCAAGTTATATCTGTAGACTCAGGCGAAACCAGGGGCTTTGGACCATCAGAGCTTCAGGTTATCTCTGTAGACTCAAGCCAGAGCAGTGGCATTGAACATTCAAACCCTCTACAGTCTTTCTCTTCAACTGCGTCTAGCCCAATCATGTTGCTTACATCGGTTACCATGACTCAACTAAGAATGCCAGTCGAGCAGCATCTTGATTCACCACCAAATAGGCAACCACAAACCTTTTTGGTGACCCCACACCAAAGACAAAAGGTTCTGGCCAAAAGTCACAGTTTTCCAAAACCCCATGAGCCATCACAAACTCTGCCTGTTACCTCACTTGCATCCAGCCCAAGCACTTTGCATACACTGGTAACAGTGACTCAACAAAGAACGCCTATCGAACAGAACCTTGGTTCACCACCGAAAAGGCAACCTCAGACCTCTGTGACAACCCAACACCAAAGACAAAGGGTTCTATCCAAAAGTCACAGCTTTCCACAGTCATCAGAGGCTCCAGGTGTTCCCCATGTCCCAGTACAGAATGAGGTGTATGCCACAGCTCAGGCTTTGGCCAGGAGCAGACTGGATAAAGCAAAACGGCACCTGCATGAACACATACAGGATGTCATCTCAGTGATCAGCACCAGAGACAGATCTAAAAAACAAGCCAAGAAAAAACAAGTAAGGCCATTTCAAAATGTGAGTTTTCAATCCAATAATTATTTAATCAAATAATGGTTTAAAAAACATATGGTTGGTCAAAACACATGCACAGAAGCTGTTAATGACTGCTGATTTCTTTTTGTTTTATAGGCAGTGTCACGTCTTCTCAGGCCTTCAGTGTTGGAGGCATTTCTAGAAGCTGTGAAGGGAATGGGTGATTTCTGCTCCGATGCCCAGCTCAGAGACATGGACCTCCTCTCTCAGTCAGTCAGAGCCCAATGGGAGGTAAGAAAGAGATCATGGTCCTTCTAGCTGTGCATTAGTGTATGCTACTCAGTTTTTTAGGGGCAATTTAGGGGCAATCACGGAAAAAGCCCGATCCCCTCTCATTTTTAGTCTTGCCCTAGGAACAGTCAACAGCTTCTGATCAGATGATCGGAGCGATCTTGATGGGTTGTGTAAGATTTGACAGATACGTTGGCGCCAATCCGTGTTAAGGTTTAAAAGCAATTAAAAGAATCTTAAAATCAATTCTATAGTGGACAGGAAGCCAATGAAGAGACATTAGAATTGGGTAATATGTTTACATTTTCGTACACTCAACAGAAGTCTCACCGCAAAGTTTTGCACCATTTGAAGTCAAAAAATAGATTTAGAATAGAAATAGTTTGTTTATTCCTACATAGAGAGAGTTGCAGTAGTCAAGACGGGTATAGATAAAGGCACGAATTACCTTTTCAAGTCTTTGCAAGAGAGCCAAGGCTTTGCTTTTGCCAAAAGCCTTAGATGGTAGAAGCTAGATTTTACAACCAAGTTTATCTGTTTATCAAACTTAAGGGAACTATTAAATAGCACACCCAGGTTTTTTACACCCGGTTTATGGAAGCAAGAGAACTGCTCCAAATTGAGATTCTGAGTATCATACCCATCAGAAGGACTAAATACAACAATGTCTGTTTTGGATTCATTTAAATAAAAAAAAATCAATGACATCCAACGTTTTAAATAATTTAAGCAATCCAGTAGAGGTTTTTGGGCATTGGAATCGTTCACTTTCAATGACATATATGATTGCTTGTCATCTGCAAAACAATGGAAAGAAACACCATGTTTCCTAAAAACATGGTCCTTATGTGATCTTGTCCCAGCATTAATGATTAAATCATAGCCTCTTTTGATGGATCTACTACTGTATATATAACACCCTGTCCTGTTATTTAGGCAGTGTAATTCTGTGTGTGTGCAGGTAACACATTCCTTAATCTACATGCCTCTGTATGTGAACATAACTGCATTAAGTCCAAATTAGTCTCTTCTTTGCTCAGTACTTGTAACGTTTACTCAGTTTTACTTTTTTATCAGTTTATGAAGATTATTCCTGTCCATCAAGTCTCTGAATACTATTAAACCTTATCCAGTAGTTTTTATTTAAACCTCAGTTTTATCATTTTATAATTGTTAAATCATCAACAGTTGATTTTGTTGTAAATTTGATCATTTATTGACTGCATGCATGTTTTGACAGGTTGATATAGACGGTTACTTGTTTTCTTTTCAGCTATATGATCATATTTTGCATGCATATCTCTCTTATCACTACCAGTTAGCCAAGTTAGCAAGCCTCATTACCTGTAATGGGAACTCCCATTAGCATAAATCTTGATGCTTATCCCCAAACCACAACTGTAATTAATTTTTTTTGTGGTAGTCAAATTTTATGGTTCGATATGGTTCATTATATCATTATTGTCGAAGAGTTTGGAATCAGTTTGTTTTGGGTTTAAACCACAGGTATGTGCCACAGCAGCTGAGCGTTCAGTGCATCTGGAAGCCTTGAGAAGAATTGCAGAGAGTCTGCAGCCCACAGAGAGTGTTCTTCTCAGCACCACCCATCTGAGAACAGACACAGAGAGGGTGGAGAACATTCAACGCCACACAGACTCCACAAGTGACTTGGCACCATGCCAGGATGGGTACGTAAGAAACGTTGGAAATGTTGGGGTTACATAATGGAAATATCTGTTATATTAAAATTAATAATATATATTCTGATACAGTATGTGTTTTAGAAATAAAAATGAAAAGTAAAAAAAAAACACTTTATTTTATGATATTTTATGATAATTTTAATGCTATAAGACCTGTCTGTCACATGTACCAACAGTGTTTTGTTGTTGTTGTTTTTTTAACTAACTTATAGTACACTACTGTTCAAAAGACTGAGGTCAGAAAAAATGCTTTTATTAAGCAAGAATACATTAAATGGATTTAAAGTGGCAGCAAATACATGGATAATAGTAGAAAAAATCTATTTCAAATAAATGGTGTTTTAAGTAGTAAACGTTTTTCTGTATTGACAATAACAATTTTTCTAGAGCACCAAATCAGTATATTTGAATGATTTTTGAAGGATTGTATTAGAAATCAGACAAAAGTTATTTTAAATTGAAATAATACTTCACAATATTAATGTTTTTACTGTATTTTTGATCAGTGCAGTCTTAAGCCCTATTCGCACGGGATTAGTATTACCTGGTGACCTCCAGTCATTTGTAATAATTGCGGAGGTTGTCTGTGATCTTAATCCCGTGCGAATCGGCCATGTCTGTAATATGTAAAGTAAAAATTCCACCGCAAATGACCTACCATATTTCGCCGAACACCGAGGTCCTGTGATAA